AGATAGAGACGAAATTCCTGCACTGTTCAAACAATAGCGAGGCATACCTGCTCGGTGATCATGTAGTTCCTCTCGGCTGTGGAGAGGGCGCGGCTGGTGTATGCAACGACTCGCTCTAGGGGAAAGTTGTCGCGCTGCAGGAGCATGTCTCTTTAACCGTGGCCGCTTGCGTCTGTGTGCAGAAAGATCAGTGCGTCATTGTGAAAACGGGAAAGTACAGTGTCGTTCGTGAGGGCACTCTTCAACATGTCGAAAGCCGATTCACATTCCTCAGACCACGCAAAGGGTGTACCACAAGCAAGTAGCTTATGAAGTATTGTGGCAATGGAGGCACCGATTTGTATCAATTTCCGAAAGTAAGAGGCGAGACCATGAAAGCTTCGCAAATCTTTCGCTTTGTCTGGGCGAGGGAAGGGAAGCACCAAAGCAGTTTTATCTGGATCTGGATAAATTCCGTCTTTGCTCACGACATGATCGAGGACCTTGACAGATCTGCTTGCGAAATGGCACTTCCTGGTGTTGATTTGAAGACCAGCACCCACAAGACAAGTCAGAACTTGCCCGAGCGTCGCAGATGTTGAGGAAACGTCGAAAAAAAGACAACAATGTCATCGAGGTGACATAGGCAAGTCTTCCATTTTAGACCACACAGCATGGTGTCAATCATGCAGTTAATAGTCGCGAGTGCATTGCATAGACTGAACGGCATTACATTGAATTCGTATAGACCGTCCGGGGTCGCAAACACAGTTTTTCTTCGTCATGTTCATGCATTGGGAATTATCAATAGCAGGAACGCAAATCGATGCTCGAAACAAATTCACCACCTTGTAAAAATCGAGGGCATCATCGTTGCGTGTAATGGGGTATGCGTCATTTCTATTGATCGTACTCAGTGCCCGCGAATCGACAAGAAATTTTACTCAACCATATTTTTTACGCACCAGAACGATAGGATACGACCAAGGACTGGTTGATGGTCGGATTATCTCATGTTACAGCATATCGTCTACGTTTCCCTCAATGATTTTTCGTTCGACTTGAGAGACGCGGTACGGACGGCAGTGCACAATGGATGACCCGTCGGTCTGAATACGATGTACTGTAGCGGTAGGCTGGCCCAGGGTGCATTATTAGACATCAAAAGGGTTTACACCTTTTCCCAACAAGTCAAGCAGCTGCTGCTTCTGTGAGTCTGTCAAGTCTTCGCTGATGGCTGCTGTAAAGACTGAGAAAGCAGCGTGATCAGCACATTGACATTTAAAGGAGAGAGGGGTAAAAAGCACGACACATAAATGCTCCAGATCGGCAACGAAGGCGACAGTAGTGCTCCGAAGCCGTAAAAGTTTATCTGGTGCGGTGTTCGTAGCAGCGAGGAGAGCTGATTTATTGTTGAATCGAGCCACACCTGATGCGAGAGCTATGCCTTTATTGAGGCAACAGGGTGACGGTGTGACCAAAATTTCGCGAGAGTCAACGTTTATGGACGAAACTAAGACTTATTGCTGTTTTTGGTGGCAGCTCGATGTCCACAGCAGCGATGAGTTGAAGTGGCCTTATGTTTCATCGCGGAGGAAGTGGTCTTTGTTAGTAAGATGGTCGACATGTTGTGCACAACAAATAGCTGCGGAAGCATTAGAAAGAAAGTCCCAGCCTAGAGTGAGTTAGTGGGAGCATGGAGATAGCACAGCAAATTCTATACGGTGAAGAATGCCATTGATTAGCGTACTGGCAGTAGAGAGAGTGGAAGGGTGACTCGTTGTTCCTTGGCTTGTAACAAGTGTTGGTCCATCATAAAGTGTCGTCACGTTTTGAGGACGGGCACACAATTCAGCATGAATAATAAAAACGTAACTCCAGTGTTCACCAAAGCATCAATGTCTACTCCATCAAGGGCGACCGAAATCATATTATAAGGGCGCACTAAAATAATTTGAGTCCTCTGTTGAAATGCAGTTTGTCCTCCGAAAACTGCATCGCTTAGTTCCCCGGACGTTCAGAACGATGGAGGCAGGCTAAAGCGAGAAGAGGAGCGACGGTGGGGTGACAGTTAACGGCGTCGAACCGATCGATGACTGCTGCGCAGTTCTACCGATGCTGGCGGAGATGGACACCGACGTGGTGGCGACAAATAATGGTGGCCCTGGTGCAAGGCTCCTCCAGTATAGTCCTGTACGCGTATGTCATACCCTCGACACTTGTTTTGCTGGCGCTAACGGCAAAAGTGAGAAATGTGACCGCAATACATGCAATAATAGCACGCAGTGTGAGTCGATGTATAAGGAGGTTAGTATCTTGCGTTTAGTGCGCCGAGAGTGAAAGAGCTGTGAGAGGGAGAGATGATGGCTTAGGCGGTGTAATGGAAAGTTCGTGAGAGGTGCTTCAGCAACCAATGCGTACGTTCGTGGTGGCGACGTCGAGCTTACGTTGCCTGATTGCGGGTTGTTGATGTACGAAAATGGTGGGAGAGTGCGGGACAGTTTGGGAGAAAGTGATGGGACAGTGTGGGAGAAAATGATGGGAGAAAAAAATGAGTTTTCTAGTTAAAATTGAGTTTTTATTGTTAGAATATAACATCAAATCTGATGAAATTCGACAACTGAAAAGAACAATTCTTCTTTTAGTGGCCACTGCCACTAAAATATGCCAGCACCATAAGTTTGTCCCTCTCGTCTTTTCCGAGCCGAATCCTCACAGACATTTCACTCACAGACAGGGCCATAAAACGCTTGTCAAACTTCCGCTCCATCCGACGGAGCCATGTGCCAACTGCAAGCCATGAAGAAGTTCGACTGCAAAATTGAAACCATGTCCAGTGTCATGCCAGTTTGCTGCCATGTTTGTGCCGCATACCGTCGTACATAATATCAATGTCGTTCCCGCGAAGTTCCCTCACTCCCAGCTCCTTCGACCTCGCAAGATTGGCGCTGACGTCATTCATTGCCGCATCACGAACTTTCTGGCTGATGGGTGTGAATGACTTTTGATACATTGGTTTATCCAAGCCAACAACTGCCGCAAATCAAACCAGCTGCTCGTAGGCTATTCCTACAGAACCCGCCGCACAAGGGCTTTCACTTGCGAGCATTTGCTTTTTCTTTCATAATGGAGATAATTACACGAGGAAAGCATTGTTTAGCTGCACTGCTCAGCAACACATGGACCCCGCAAACAGGCTGCACACCACATACAGGCGCGAAGCAGCCAATGGCGGTCCCCCGATCCGTACCACGTGATTACTCAGTCGAGGCGCTCGAAAAACGCGCAGAAGCGTGCTTCTTTTTATTATTTCTTGCACGGCATAAGCGAGGGAATCTGTTGTTATTTGAAAAGTGAGAATAGACTCTTCGTCTCATGGGATCAACAATGGCGAGCGACGGCACATTGATGGCGGCAAGGTGCTCGAAGGTAGCACACCATGGACCTTTTAACAGGCACCTTGTCCTCCTTAGGTGCACTTTAAAGCATTTTCAGTTAAGTCTCCACCTGTATTTTTTATTCATAACAGTGGTGGTACTAATCTTATCACAACAGGCAAAAATAAAGAAAGCAGTAATCTTGAGAAAAAACTGTTGTTTTTTGACCCGCATCTCCCTTTAATGCCACGTCAGCATGAGAGTTGCGTAGAATGGAAATTCTACCTGAAAAGCAGAGCTTTGGCAGTTTCTTTTACTCTCCTTTCAAAGAAAAAGTAAGTTCAGCGAGTAACTTCGCCCTACTTTCTCACAGAGTAAATTACTTTTGGTTAGAGCAATACAGTTGCTCTGCTCTTCACGTACTCCCTGTACTTTTGTGACTGAGAGCGAGCACCACGATTTGTTCCTCAGTCCCACGGCCGAGATGTGCAATGCTAAGGTGTAGGCTATGATTGCATCATTGCTTATGCCAACCCTTGGTGAGGTCAACGCGAATAGCTCGGAGGTGGTAATGGAAGAGTCAATTGCTCGATGGTTCTCCTAGGCAAGAATCAAGTGGCTCATCACATCGGCGTCCACCAGCTACTGGCTTTTCCACAACAAACGTTCATTTATATTGAAGGCGGTGGTGTACAGCCCTCGTTTTCAAAACATGTCTCACAGGTTATGGTGGGCCACGTGTGCGTGAGGCTTGCGTAGGAAGATGTGGGCTTGAATGGCGCGGACATGGTGTCCCTGCAGATGGACTCAGGTGTGTCGGAACAACGCACGCCATGCACGCTCCGCAGAAGCGTGAGGTCTAGTGTGATTCACAGCACACACTTTTTGCTTTGCGCGTTAAATTCATGCGGTCTGTGGGCAGGGAAGCGTTGAGCTCGAGATTGACCAGACACAACCTCCCTCTTGGCTGAAACATTGACATCTCAATGTGGGACACCTATCCCACTAAATTAAGTGCCACTTTCATTAAAAATTCATTCATCTTTCACCTTGCTGCGCATTATCCTGAAACGCTATTTCGAAGACAAGTAAGTCTTGTCAACGTATATCATGTTTGGAGACAAAAGCGCATCATTGCGTCAGGATTCAACAAACCTACTTTTTTGCAGCTAGTGAGTTCTTCGAAGGCTTATTGATTACAAAACTCTCAGAAATATTTAGAAATGGTTTACAGCTGAACCACCCTAAAGACCAGCAGCTCTGCAAGCTTGCGTGTTACGTCATGGACACGTAGTGGTCATTAAGTTCATTCGAAAAGAAATAACCATAGCGTGCTGCTCACATCGTAACAGCACTTGTGCTGGACGCCCGATTTCTGGCTTATAGACGTTACGTTTTCTTGTGGGACACTAGAGATTTTTACTGGAAAACCCCACCAGGTAATCGGCTGATAAAAGGATTTGAACTCGGCCACGTTTTGTATACACTTTCGCTTAAGATGGCGAAGCTCAATCGTGCTGTAACTTTTCGAAGACCAGAGTCGTGTTAGTCTGCATCGTTCCGTTAATTTACTCCAGTTTCCTGCAAAACGTGCATTTAAAAACTGTAGTTTTTAACATTACGCATATCTTACAGATCACTTACCGCTTAAGGCAAGCATGAGGATGAAGGTGAACAGTGCATGAAAGAGACATAGCCGCATTTTTTACTGTCAGCTCACGCTGATTCGCGTACACGCGCTCAAATGAATCGTTCGATCGTGTCGCGCTTTCTTTATACGCATTCACTGCCAGCCAAGTACGTCAACGCTGCTACATCAAGACAACATGAACTTATATTGAGGAAAGAGCAAGCACAGATCACTCAAATTGCCCTCGTATGTTGAGAAAAAGTGTTTACCAATTTTTCTCACTTCGTACTCGACTATGAGAGAGCAGTTAGTAGTTCCAATCGCAGATTGAAGTAAGCCATGGCGGCATTTAAGTGGGGCAAAGTGAAGGCGAATAAATCATGATTCTCATAAGGAAACCTTCACAATGTAGCCCGCTGTTGCAGAAGGCATGAATGCGTAAACATAGCCTAATTGAACATGATAGCACAGCCTGATTCATTTATTAGTGCACACGTGTTTTATCTTCCCAGTCACTAAAATGTGAAGAAAAATGCAAGCCAAAATGAAAAAAAAACTTTGGACACCCTTATGCTTGATGTTCCAATGTTGAAAGCGATAGAAATATCCTGCTTATAGTGCTTCAAGCAACGGCTTTTCAACATCTTGTTCCAGATTTTCTTTTTTTATTCGTCCTCCGTATACTGATGTTAGCCCATTTTGATGCATCTTGTTTCACATCTGCACTGTCTGTTTATTGTTGGTATACTCATTTTAGCCCATTTTTGTGCCTATTGTTGCACATATTTATTTCATATTTACGCCGGGGTTTATGGTTGCTCTGCACCTTTTATGTTTATGTTTTTATGACGCAATGCAGTTGTAGATTTTTGTATATTCCTCGACGTATGCATTGATTGAATTACCTATGATTTAATACACACGTGCCTACACTTCAAAAAGATATCTTTTTTGAATACTGTGGTTCTCCAGAAGTCTTGTCCCACCGTCATGCGACAATCACATAGAACGAATGTTCACATCTCTTTATGAACCTTGTGTATATCACGTCTCCATGTTGTACCGCGTATATAAGGAGTGCGATGCTAATATGCTTTGCATTTCCTGACGAAGGCATGGACCCTCACTGAATCGTTGGAAAGATAAGGTTTCGCGTGGTCATCCGTTACCTTATCTTTTGGAAAACACTAGATTCACGATATATATATATATATAAGTGTGTGTCTGTGTGTGTGATTGTGTGTGTGACAGTTCACGGGTGGATGGGAAAAAGGAAGAGGAGGAAGAGGAAGAGTTAGAATAAACTGGTGTTCTGACTGACGCCATGTCTCATTCGTTACAGTAGGTCTTCAAGGGCTTCTGAAGCCATATCATGAGCCCACCAAAGATGATCAGCCTGCCAAAATACACCAAAGCTCAAGATGACGTCCCCGTGCACATGGTTGCACCCCTTCGAAACGAAATCGAGCAACGTTAGCAGGTCCGAACGAGATCGCATTGACTATATCAGCGAGTACCTGGAAGGTGATGCGTTCCGCTGGTACCGCACCGAGTTTTTCGACGCAGAGAATACTTGGGAAGGCATCAAAACAAGCATGACAGCAAAATTTTCTTCTCCTGTCAGTGTCTCTTTCCACCAATTCATACACTGCTGGCTCAAAAAATAACAGCGCATTAGGCACTACTACAAAGAGAACACGCGCCTTGATCGCCTCGCAGACTTGAAGGACGTTTATATAGTATCAGGATTGACCGACGGTGTACCTGAGGAAATCGCAAGGCACCTCGCTGGATTGATGTTTACCAGCCAGGTCAAGTGGCTTGCTTCTGCGCTTCAAAGAGAATACTCTGTTCACAAAGATGCTTCCCAACACTCGTTAAAGCAACAGCTCATGCATCGAGAGCGTTCTTCTATTCGACAATGGCTCTCTGCAGGATCGATGCGCACCCCTCAGAGTTAGGGCCGACATTGTACATCTGTGTGGTTTGCCGAATTAGTCTCACTGGCACAATGGGTGCCCCAGTCGCGAAATCGTATCTGCTCAAACTGACGACCAGAGAAACGAAGAGGGCGGCCCAAGGCTTCATTATTACGGTGTACTTGTGAACGGACACATGGTGAACGCAACTCCGGATGTAGGAGTGACTAATACCTGTATAAATGAAGTTGTGTTCAAAAAACTCAAGCTGCAGTTGCTCAAGGATCCATGCATTAGTGTTCAACAAGTCACCTCAACCACAAAAACTTTGGGCTGCGTACACTACAGTTGAAAATATGGAAGATAACGTGGGAAGTCCAAGCACACGCTCTGCCAGGTATGAAGACTGAATTCTTGCTAGGCCTAGACAGCGCCTCCTTTTTCAACCTTTCACTGGACTTTAACATGATCACTTTGCTTCAAGACAACAAAACTCTGCAGAATTCTTTTCAAACTCAAAAGTGTGTCTTCAGCGCCGGCACAACCCCACTCCAAGCCGTTGATGTTCAGCACCTTCCACCGTCCAATAGGCTCCTTTGAGAGAGGTGCTTCACAGTTACGAGGACATTTTCTTGAAGTCAGAGATAGACTTCGGCTGTACTGCAGATGAACGACATTGCATTGCCTTCAGTAACAACGTCCCCATCCACAGACCTCCGTATTGATGCTCTCCGGCAGACAAAGAGGAAGTTCAGGAGAGTGGACTTACTTTTCAAGCAATGTGTAGTGGGTCCATCCTTTTCACTATACGCGGCTCCTGTGATTCTCGCAGAGGAAAACGCGAAGAACGTACGCATTAATGCATTGATTATCAAGAACCTAATTCTGTCACTGTGCCTGACTTCCAACCTTTTCTGCGTATAGACGATGTTCTATACTACCTGGAAAAATTGAACCATTTTTCTAAATGGGGCATAACATCAGGCTACTGGCATGTCAAAATTAACACAGAGGACATCCCAAAAGCAGTTTTCATTACGCCGAATGACCATTATGAGTGGCAAGTTGTGCCTCTCGTTTCGAGAAGTGCTCCTGCTATGTTCGAAAGAGCTGTGAAATTAGTTGTCAGAAAACATAACTTTAAGAATGTCGTTAAGTATTTTGAAGGCATTGTAGTCTTCGCCGACACATTTACTGACCACCTAAAGCACCTCCAAGCTCTATTGCAAGCACTAAATGTGAAGAATATAAGACTTGAACTGGAGAAGTGCCATTATGTCCTAGATTCTATTAAATGTATGTGTCACGTAGTGTCACATGGTACAGTATGGCCTATACTAAGTATTATAGAAGCTGCATTGCGATTCCCAAGACCGAAATCCCCGAATAAGCTTCAGCGTTTTTTAGGCACCACCAACATTTACCGCCAGTTGATACCGCAATTCAGTGACACAGTTTTCCCAATTACAAAGCTGTTGAAGAAGGGCACAACATGGAAATGGGATTCCTTTTGTGAACAAGCTTTTGAAAAAAAATTAAATAATGTCTGAACATAGAAGCCATTTTAGGTATTTTTTTCTTGCGAGAAACCACGCATTCTTTATTGCGACGCATCTAACGTAGGTATAGGTGCAGATCTGAAGCAACGAGATAATGATGGTAAAGAACGCCCTGTTTCCTATCACTCGCACTATCTACTCACGCATGAAATAAATTGTGTCATTACAGGGCTCGAATGCCTCGCTATGATGAACGCGGTTGGCAAGTGGCACTGCTATCTTCATGGACGACCATTCACTGTTGTTACCGGTCATGCTGCTTTACAATGGTTCAAAAACATAAAAAATCCCCATTACCGACGCTTTCGATGGTCTCTGAAGCTGTCGATGTATAAAGTTAACATTCGACATCAAAAAGGTAGCAAAAACACCTAGGCAAACGCATTCTCGTGGAGCCCTATGGTTCAACTCCTTTTGTTGTCAGAACAAGTACACAACGAAAAACGGGGTGACTTTCGTGACACATAAAAGAATTTGCAAATTGTGCATTTTACTTTAGCTTCGACTGGGCCTCCTGCAGAAAGCACACTGTCAGTTGGGACACGTTGGAGAAAAGAAAACTCTGGGCTTATTGTCATCATCCTACTATTGGCAGGAAATCTTCGCAGACGTTTCATCTTACGTCCGCCACTGTGACATATGTCATTGTTGCAAGAAGCCCAAAACGAAAAGATTCGAATCCCTCAAGTCACTACCACCTGCAGAACAACCCCTTGATCTTCTAGCAATGGACACTATACGTCACTTTTCTGGCTACGGCTTGACAAAGAAGTTTATTCACTTGACGATCGACCACGCTACGCAGTATGTCCGGGCATTTCCCCACAAAATTGAAACTTGTGACGCCTACATTTCATGTATCACCACTATTTTTGCCGCAGTAAAGCCCAAAAAGTTCCTATCTGATCGTGCGCCAGTGTCACAGGCTCCGTTAATTCTGGAGGCGATCGCCGGGCTAATTCCAAGGGCCGAAGTATCGGCCCCCCGAAACCGCACCACGAAAGCGTGGACAATTTAGAGGTGGTCCTAGTTGGCGCGCCAGCGGGCGCCGGCTGTGGCCCAAAGTACAAGGCAGAGACGAGAGTTCATAAACTAAACAAAATTATATTCTCGGTTATGGCAGATCAAAACAATACACAAGTATGCACACTCGACGATAGTTGAATACAATGTGCCACCAATCAAACAATGTACTACGCAATACAATCAGCCACACTCGAAACAACGGACACAGACAACAATACGCACTACAATGCAGTCGTATGCATTGAACAACCTAGACACCTAAAGACTAAAGAGTTAGAAAACTTATTCAGTCGAAAGCTCTTCGAACAGAAGTCTGAATGATAGTCTTCCGAAAATCACTCACTCAAAGTCCAGCGTTGTTGTCGTTCCGCTGCCCCTGAAGTTTCTCTTCCAGGAAACCTCGCGTCTTCAATTGGCCGCTCTCCAAGCTGCAAACTTCTTCGCCGGAAACACGTTGGCTTCACACACGCAGCTGTTGCCACGCGTCTTCGCTCAATAGCGGTAGACACACGCTAGGGCTGACATTGTTTTTGCAATGTCTGCCTGCAGGCATTGCAAAAACCGACAGACATTGCTAGGACCGACATTGTTTCTGCAAA